CAGAGGGGAATATGAACTGGTCTCAAGCCCAAAAAGCCTTCTTGGAAGAGCTCAAGAAGGATTTTAAAAGTCAAATAATAGAGATAAAAGAAAAATTGAATAATTTCTTTAAAAATACAGTTGACAAAATGGAAAAAAAGGATGTGAAGAAAACAACTCCTTAAAAAGTTAATTGGATAAATGGGAAAGGAGACACAAAAACTCACTGAAGAGAACTCCCTATAAAATAAAATGGGCCAAATGGAAAAGGATGTGCAAAAGCTAACTGAGGAAAACAATTCATTAAAAATTAGAATTGGGAGTCTGCTTCCGGGAGCCAAGATGGCAGAATAAAAAGTTAGCTGCTCTCACCTTTCCTTATTAACCTCTGAAAGCCCAGAAAATATCACCCCAGGAAAAACCCTGGAATAGCTGAACCAGCAGAGATTGGGTGCAATAGTCCAGTAGCACAGGTTGCTTGAGGGATTAATGGGAAAGGCCCCTCTTGCTCTGGGGGAAGGGGAGCAGCAAAGAATAAGAGGCATCCCAGGAAGCTAGTGCTAAGCCCCACCTCAGCATACCAGGAGTAGATTCTGAACTCCAAGTGCTGGAGCAGGCAAACACCAACACAAGGACCCCCGAATGCCTCAGTACAGGCAGGGGAATGTATGGAAACTGGTTCAGAAAACCACCATGTGCCTCGGTATTCTCTGGAAGCCAGGTTTCCCAGTGCCTCAGCAAAACTCTGGGAAGTTCCAAGGGCTCACCCCAGGTGGAAAAACATCCCACAGCAGTGAGATATCCATCTGCAAGGAGCCAAGGAAAGTGAAAAGAAGGAAAGGCCAGGGTGAGCAGGCAACCATCAGGGGCCAGACTACCCAATCCTACCCATAGAGTTCCAGTGTTGCTGATTCTAGCCCTACACCAGGTAACCTGTCAGAACCCTACAACCTCCAACTGCCAGGATCAGAGGCCCCAGAACACAAAGCCTAACTACTTTTTTAAATCATTGTTACCCTTGAAATCTTCACTATTTATTCCTCTTGATGAATTTTGTTATAATTTGCCTTATTCTATGAAGAAATCCTTGGTAATTTATTGATATGGAAACAAGTAAATAGATTATTTTGGTTTAGTAATGCTTTGTATTTTTATTTTCTTAGTGAGGTTCAGCCTTTAGCAATTTATGGACAGTATGGTATAGCTGATAGCAGAAGTGAAGCCAACAAGGGCTACATTCAAAGCCTACCCTACAACATACTGTCCCTACAATTTTGGGCACGTCATTTGTCCTCTCAGTGTTCTAGGCAAACTTTTGGACTTTAGGTTGCCCAGGACATGTTCAAGTACATTAGTAAATGAAATTCCTTCACCTGGGAGTTACCTAGACTAATGAAATCACAGGTAAGGTCACTAGCCCAACGATCAAACTTTGTCTTTAATTTGAGATGAATTCCCATTGTGCCTTTGTGTGCATTGGTACAGGGACTCTCAGATAATTTACATATTCTGTACTAATTGTTAATAGAATCTCTTTGTTCTATTTCTTTCTAATGACATTTCTTGGTAACTCTCTATAGCTTACTAAGTCATAGCATCAGCAAAAAAGCAATTCTTTCAAAGATTCAATGTCCACTGATTCTGATTTATTCTGAATTTGGTCATTTTTTTTCAACAAACCTTCCGTTTTTTGAAATCAGTCCTTTAAAGTGAACTATTACATATATGTCACCATTATCTTTGCAAGAAGGACAACTTCCTACTATTGCAAAGAAGCAGATTTTAAAAACCAAACCACACAGTTCAGCATAGCAGCAAAGGCAAATCCATGTACTCCACCCTTTCTGGATTTTTTTTTAATCAATAGGTTTAGATATACATATTTGCCACCTACAAATTATTGACTGCATCTGAAGTTTTTTTTTTAATTTTTATCACATAATTATCATTTTATTTGATGAAATTACCTATTGGTATTTGATTTGTCTTTTAACCTACAAAATTTTATAGATTAAACTAGTTTGACATATATTTTAATACTGTCTTTAAATGTTCTTTATTAATTATATTGTATTGTGTTGTGTTCAGTAAAAGATTCATTTGTTACTTTTGTTTTTAATTTATTTAGGGGATTTTTAGCCTATGAAAAACTTAGAAATACATATTTTCCTTTCCATTAATATTCATAAGGCTAATAGGTGGCACAGTGGATAGAATGTAAGGCCTGAAGTCAGAAAGACTCAGCTTCCAGAGTTCAAATCTGGCCTCAGACACTTACTGGCTGTGTAACCCTAAGCAAGTCATTTAACACTGTTTACGTCACTCCTCATCTGTAAAATAGGCTAGAGAAGGAAATGGCAAACCTTCCCAGTATCTTTGCCAGGAAAACCCCAAATGGGGTGATGAAGAGTCAGACATGACTGAAATGACTGAATAACAACTTTCTTATTAATAATCAGCAGAAATCTTTTGTATCTATCTTATCCAAAATTCCACATAAACTCTTCAATTCTTTCCTATTCATTTTGTTGTTCTAATTGCTAAATTCATATAGTTCTTGAAAGGGCAGAGTAAAGACCCCAAATCTTATAATTTTTCTGTGTAGTTCCCCTTATAATACATTTAACATTTCCTTTAGTGCTTAGATACTCTGCTATTTTGTTGCACATAGTTTCCCTGTTTCTCTCTTGTCTGTTTTGATTGTTTTCTCCTCTGACCTTATCATTCCTGCCTCTGCTGTTTTTTAATTCACTTCAAGCAATAAATTTTGTTCCAGTGGATCATTTTAATTTATTTTTGGCTAGGCAATGGGGTTAAGTAACTTGATCATTTTAATTTTTAATGTGTCTTTGATATTTAAGGTGTGTTTCTTGTAAACAATTGTAATGGTAGTCTGAGTTCTCAACATTGCTTCTCTAAATGCTGGTGATGATCTCAGAAGCGTTTGAGCTTGCTGTTTCACCACATTGTTTATCTCTCAAGCTTTCCATTTACTAAAACCACTAGATCATTAGATGAAAAATTGAAAGTGATTTTCCACTATACCGATACACACATACATATGCATATGTGTGTATAAGTATGCACATATATGTGTGTCTCTATGTATATATACAGCATAAAACAGTAACAATATAGAGCTATATAATTGCTTGGGCTATCTGTTATATCTATAATATACCCCTCCACTGACTTTTGCCTCACAGGTCCTGGGTATTCTTTTTTTTTTTTCATTTAAGACACTGCTCATACATTATCTTCAACCTAATGTCATTACTGATTCCCCAACTGCTAGTGCCTTCCCTCTCACATGAGTTGTTTTATATTGATACTGTGTGCATTTATTCTGCACAAACCTCCACCTGGGCACACGCTGTCTCCCCTGAAAACATGGCAGCTTCCTGAGAACCTTTCTGACTTTGATTCCTCAGCAGTTACCTTAGAGCCCGCCGACGCTAGGGGCTCAATAAATGTTTGATGATTGCTTATACCCGTGACTATCTGAGCTGGCATCACACATGTGCGCTCAACTCCCTTTTCCAGCCACAGAGGATGAAATTTACTCAATCTCACCTTGTCCTGAAGTGAAGGGCTGACTACCTACTACCCATTGCTACTACTCAGGATCCAGAGCCATGAGTTGCCCAGGCCAAGGCTATCTTTTCTGATCACCAGACTCTCTTCTATCATACTCATCTATTTCAACTTAACTCCCTCCTGTGTCCCAGATCACCCTCTTTTACTCTTCCTCTGTGCCCTCTAAAAAGCCCTTTTCTGTTCAAGATAGAACTCTGCCTTCCACTCAAAAATCATTATGCATAAGTATTTGGTATTGACATATATGCTTAAGTATGCTTTTGTCCTCATCAATAGAGTGTAAGCTCCATGAGGGAAGTCCCATTTCTTTATTTTGTCTTTGAATTCCGGCACCTAGGACAGGGCAGGCCATAAAGCAGAAGCTTAATAAATGGTCATTGAGTTTCAGCAGGGTCTTCTCTAGGCGGGAGGCTGCCTGCTTCATGGGCCTCTCTGACAGGGAAGTACTGAGTGATGATGTGCAAGGCAGCCTAGAGCTGGCAGCTGTTGCCATGAAGGCCTCCTGAGATTTCCTGGTCAAGGAACAATTTTATGAGTAGCTGCAATGCCTGACCAAACAGGAATCAGAGCAGCCAACACCATGTCTGGCCATTCCTGGACTGAAAGGTGCTGCCATTGTGGGGTCCTACAGAAGAGGCAGTAAGTAACTGAGATCTTTAGATACCTGTGGGTCAGGCACCCCCAAATTGCACCAAATCCCCACAGTATCTGGTGCCAGATTCATCACTTCAATTGATTTGGAATCAACGAGTTCAAATTCTGAGTACAAATCCTGCTTTAGACTCTTGTTACCTGGGAGAACCTCAGCAAATAACTTAACCTCTGTCTACCTCAGGTTTTTAATCTCTAAACCTAGATTTTAAAATCTATGAAATGGGGATAACATAGAATGTACCCACCACGTTGTTTTGAGAATCAAAGGAGAAAAAAATTGTGAACTACTTTCCAAGCCTGAAAGCGCTAGATAAATGATAGCCATTGTTATTAACGATGATGCTAATCTTATTCATCTCAATAGAGCAGATGATGAGATTGACCCAAAAGATATGCCAAACATGGAACACGTGCTCCATAACCAGTTGGGCCAAGGGTCTTCTAGGCCATGGCATTAGGCCCAATCTTGTGCCTAATCTTGACTTTTCAGGATAAGGCTCCTTTGGGATGTCCCAGTCATTGTCAGGCAAGGCAATTTTTGCCCTAGTACTCTTCAACGGTCTTCAATACTTGTTACCCATCAGATTCTCTGGTTTTTGGCCAGCTATACTAACCTAATGACACCTTGATCCTTTGAGAGCTAATCCTTAAAGGACCATGGTCCCTCCTTCATCAGTATAACAGCGGAAATCATGGGGCCTGGGTTTAAGGTGTGTAAGACAGCAGGGCTAGCCACCACATCCTGGGTCACCCTCTACTCCGCCTACCTTTTCCCCTGTGCACAGTTGAGGCTGGGCACCTCAGGCCAGAGCTGAAGACCCACCATGCGCGCCACAGTCACTTTCCTGATCTCCATTGGTGAGTGTCCAGGGTCAGGCCAGGGGAGGGAGGGACATTGAGACAAGGTCCTTGGCTCCCAATGCTGAAGAACAAGGAGGAAGCCTAAGAAGAAGAAAGAAACTTGTTGGGCGAGCCAGACCCCAGTGTCTGCTCAAAGGGCTCTTCCTTCATATTCTGACTGAAGCAGACTGAGAGGTTCTGGGCCTTTGGTGAGAGCTGGGGATGGGGTCAGCATAGGCTGTAGGGGAAGCATGTGTAACCTGAGCTTCTCTTACAGGGCTCTGTCTCGACTGGGCTGTGAGGGCACAGATGGGTGAGTTCTGCCCCTAAGATCCTACTGTTCTCTTTCCTTTGCTTTCCTTGTACTACAGTACTTCAGACATCTATTTCCAGTATAAGCAAGAAGGGAAATGGGACATTATGGTAAATGGATGTAGTGATTCAAGGAGGGGCTTCAGAATCTGATGGTGAAGGAAGAACAAGGCTTAGAGAAATCCCCAGGAATATGGACTCTGTTTCCTTCTCAGACACTCTTCCCAGGCCCACCCTCTGGGCCACCCCAAGTCTTGTGGTCCGCTGTGGAGCAGACGTGACCCTCAGGTGCCAGGGCCACCTGGGGAGTGACAGATTCCAGCTCTGGAAGGATGGAGAGCTCAGAGATGAGAGAAATGCATCCTGGCAGCAGGCAGAGTTCGTGCTCAGGAATGTGGATGACCAGAGAGATGCGAGAAGCTACAGCTGCCGCTCTGGGCAGGGGCCGTGGTGGTCAGAGCCCAGTGAAGCCCTGGCCCTGGTGGTGACAGGTGAGGGGTGCTGGTCTACAACCATCCCTGGTGGGAAGGAGACTAGCCCTGAGAGATGAGATTGGAGGCTGTGGCAGAGGGGTCAAAACCTGCCCCCTTAGCTCCTGGTTGGGTGACAGTGGGCAAGTCCTCAGCCATCTGTGGATCTCAGTCTCTCTTCTATGACATAAAACGCATGGGCTGAATTATCTAAGGAGGCCATTTAAGCTCAAACCCCTGTGATTCTTGGGACTGTGTGCTCCATGAGGAAATCAGAGGTGCTTCTTTCCCTAAATCTTTGGGAATTCCCCATTGTGGAGCAGGTGGCACCTGATAATTGGGTGATGAATGAGAACAGGAGAACCAGAGAAAAATGTCATTCCTTATGGAGGTGCCCAGAGAGAGTTCCCATCCTCCTCTAGCAGCCCATGACCACCCAGGGTCATGCATAGCTCTGCCAGCCATCTGAATTCACTGAGCGGGGGACAAGGGTGGCATTCCAGGGACATGGCACCACATGGCAGTGTATGGAAGTGTGTAGGGCCCAGGACTGAATTAGGGCAACTGTCTAACATCCGACTCATAAGATTTGATGTAGGAAAGAGGTTTGCAAACATCCAAGTGTAAGGGAAAGGTGTGAATTTGCCAGAGATACTGCATGGGCATCCTGCCTTGGTCCAGCAGGTTCAGATTGTAGGGGCAGACATGGGCTCCTTGGAGGAAGAGAGAAGAGGTGCAGATGCGGAGGGTGACCTCCTCTGCCATTGGCCTTGCTCTTCCCTTCAATCTGAACTCTAAGACTCTTGTTGGGCCCAGAACATCTGGGTCCAGGGAGCCAAGTCATTGAGCCATGAACAGGCCTGCAGGACTGGTCAAAGGGGCCTGGTCAGGGGCCCTAAGCCCACTCTCCTCCTCAGCTCTGTTTCAGGGAATGATGTGAGGGGATTAGGGGGAGATATCAGGTCCCTAATTTTCTTCCTTTCTCCTTCCACAGGAGCCTTCCCTGCACCCTCCATTTCAATTTCACACCACTTCACAACCCCAGGGACAACAGTGGCCCTCAGGTGCCAAATGGCAATCACTGAATTCTCTCAGAACTACAGTTTTGCCCTGCTGGAGGCAAAGAGCCTGGAGCCCTTCCAGCAACAGAGCCCTGCAGAGACCCAGGCTGTTTTCTCATTTCCATCTGTGAGGGTGGAGGACACCGGGAACTATAGATGTATTTACTACAAGAAGACAGCCCCCCACAGAGGATCTCGTCCCAGCCAGGCCTTGAAGCTGACTGTGCATGGTGAGTGGAGGTGGGAACCTCCTAATCCCCAATTTTAAAAAGCACATAGGGGCCCACAGAGCTATGGTGACAGCATAACATCCCGGGAATTCTGAAGAGACGCTTTGGGAGGAGGCTGGAGAAGATACTGGGATCCTTCTCTGACCTAAATGGAATCAGCTTTTGGCCCCAGGATAGTAGGGGTGTTCCGACCTCAAGGCAGGCCCCCAACAAGAAAGTGAGAACAGAATTTAAACTACTGTTTCCCCTCTTGTTAAGTGGTTAAGGTAGGGGTGCTTGAAGGGTCAGTCTAACCCTGACATTTGGTGTCTCTCTTTCTCATGAGGACCACTGCCCAAGCCCACTCTGTGGGCCCAACCTGGCCTCGTGATGGCCCCAGGGACCAACATCACTCTCTGGTGCTCAAGGCCCAAGCTGTCTTCCCTTGAAGAGGTGACCTTTACTTTGTATAAGACTGGGACCAAGGGGCCCTTGCAGCAGCACACCTCAGCAGATCTCTGGACTAGCTTCCTGCTCCCATCTGTGAGACCTGAGAACACTGGGAGCTACAGTTGTACCTACATGGAATGGAGAGTGTCTGCTAGAGAATCAGAGTCCAGTGAGGCCTTGGAGCTGGTGGTGCCAGGTGAGGGGAGGGTGTGGGCCCCAAAAATAACTCTGAGTATGACCCCTCTGCTCTCAACCCAGACAGGGGTGTCACAGAGACAAGAGCCTGGTGTCTACACAGCCAGCTCTACCCTGGGGGCTGGCAGAACTCAGAGGTCTTGGAAGACATGAGGCATTTCTGTTCTGGACTAGAATCTTGGGGAGAAAGGTGATGGTGGGGACTGAGTTGGGAGTTAGGAGAAGAGTCACAGAGACCCAGAGCTGAAAGAGGCCTTGGAGGTTCTTGAGGCCAAACCCTCCTATTACCAATGAGCAAATTGAGGGCCAGAGACAGGAAAGTATTTGTCCAGGATCACACAAGTAAGTGACTGAGTCTGGAAATGAACCCTACCATCTCTTTCCTGCACCATGATCTGAGCCCTGGTTTTAGTCAGAGTCCTGGGCCTGTCTGTGACATCCCAGATGAAAAGTGAGGGGTCATGACCTTCTCACCCAAGAGTCATCAGAGGCCCAAGACCAGAGATCGGATGGGATCCCTCAAATATGAAAGTCTCTTTAGATTCCTGAATTGCTAGAGCTGGAATGTGCTGAGAAATCTTTTATTCCAACCCCTTCATTTACAGGGGAAGTAACTGAGGCTCAGATGTAGCCATACACTGGGCCAAGGTCACACAGGGATGCAGAGGCAGAGCACACCTTCACACAGATGTCCTCACTCCCAGACCTATGTTCTTTGCTCACAGGATCTCTGCCCAAGCCTTCCCTCTCAGCCCTCCCGGGCTTTGTGGTGGAGTCCGGGATGAATGTCACTTTCCAATGCCGGCAGCCCCATCAGTCATCTTTCTGGAGGGTGACATTCACTCTGCTGAAGGTGGGGACCTCTCAACCCATGCAGAGCCAGAGCCCAGCTGGGACCTCAGCTGACTTTCCCCTCCTCTCTGTGAGGGCCCAGGATGCTGGCAACTACAGCTGTGTCTACTATAGCAGGATGGTTCCATACCAGGTTTCTCAGCCCAGCAATGTCCTAGAGATCTGGGTGACAGGTGAGAGTGTGTCCAGGTTCCCAGGGAATAAAGTAGAAGATTTGAAGTTAAGATTAAGAGGTAGCCCAGGAAGTCTAAAAAGGCATATTGGTGAGAGGGCACTCTTTTGAGCATCATGAGATAGAGGTTGGGACAACTGCTGGTACCTAAGGAAGGGAAAAGAAAAAGTGGAAGAATGGGCTAGCTTAGGTACTATTCCAAGTTCTAGAGACAATGATGGAAGTGAATATCTGAGGCTTAGCATCCACCCCTGCCCAAGGAAAGTCATTTGGGGCAAGGAATGATCAAAGAGCCAATGGAAGTAAGTGTCGATGGTCAGAGAGCTCTTCAGGGAACGCAAGTCTGTTGCTTCTCCCCATCCCCATTCTCCATGTGGAAAGGACCTTAAGATTCTCTGGCATTTATTTGTGTTTACAGATGCACTTCCCAAGCCTTCCCTCTCAGCCTGGCCTAGCCCAGAGGTGGCCTCAGGGGCCGATGTGACTCTCCGGTGCTGGGGGCCATTAAGAGGTTCTAAGTTTCTTCTCTACAAGGAGGGAGATGACAAAAACCTGCCAAGCATGGATCCCACTCAAGATGGAGCCCTGTTCTTCCTGACTCATGTGACCCCCAAGCACTCTGGCAATTACAGCTGCAGATACCAACTCAGCACCAATGGAAGTCTCTGGACACAATGCAGTGACCCCCTGCAGCTTATAGTGACAGGTGAGAGGAAGACACCCACAGGACCCATTGGAGGGCACCAACAACCACTCCCTCCCTCAGCTCCTACAAGGAAATGAAACCAAGGCCTTGGCTCTGGCCAAGAGACACAGCATAAGAGACAGCAGACACTTTGACTCTTTTCTCAGTTCCAGGACTTTAGAGACCAAGGATGTGAGCTGGGTCATGAGGCTTCCCCTGTCTCATGCTCCCTGATAACCCACACATCTCTATCCTGGTTTCTGGCTTTCTCACCCTGATTCCAAGGGATAAGCCCTCTCTGAGCAGTATTTGTGTCTAACTGTTGGAGGGCGGTGGTGTTGTGGTGCTGCAGAAGGGGATAAGTAGACCAAATTCAGATACAATTTCAGGGCAAGAACAGGGTCCCCTCAGGAAAGTGATTTATGAAGATTCTTCTCTCTCCACCATCCCAGGTTCAGAGCTCAGTAACACCCTCCTCATCACCCTCAGCTGTGTTTCCTCCCTCCTCCTCCTCTGCCTTCTCTTGCTGGCACTCCTCTGCCAAGGATCCATCCCTGTGGGTGAGTGTGGCAAAGATAGAGTGAAACCCCTCAGGGTCTGAAGGAATAAAGAGGTGGGTAAGGACTGGGCCCTCCGTTTCTGCCTTTGAGATCTTCCCTAACTTGCTTCTTCCCTTCCCATGTCTCTCTCACCAGGGTCTTTACCAGGAGAGAACCCTAGGAGGTAAGGAGACTCAGCTCCTCTTCCCACAGTCCCCTTTTCCTTCTTTCCCATGTAACCCTGGATGCTCTGCACTGCACAGGGTCCCTGGTGAAGAGGGGTTGCTCACAGAGGCTCCCAACTCTTTACCTATGTCCTATTTCCTACCTCTCTCTCTCTCTTTACTAACAGGTGCCTCTGTCACCCTTGTCTTCCTTGTAGCACTTCCTTGCCCCATCAACCTAAGGCCCCCAGAGAGGAAGTCCTGTGTAAGTTATCTGGACAGGGAGAGGGTATGATCCTGGGGCAGGGCGAGGGCATGGTGAATGGGATTTCTGGTCCTAAAAACAGGAAGAATGATGGAACCTTCCCTCCACCTCAGATACAGAAGTGGCCAAGGACAGACCAAGGGAACCATCGGTGAGTTAGCCCACCCTGTCCTCCACCTGGAGAAGCCTGTTTCATCCTTGACCCTAACTTTTCCCAATAGGCTTTAAACCCAGGGTTGGACCACCTCTTAATCACTTACATATTCTTTCTTCTCTTCCTCATTAGAGTACATCTGAATTGGGCGTTTTCAAAGTCACGTGGTTTTTTTAGTATTTCAATAACTGTGCATCAATATCATTTATTTCCTTCATAATCTCATGGATTTCATTTCATATAATTAAAGGAATGGGACTGAGAAGGCATCTATAGCTTTCACCAGACAGGCTGTCAAAGCATTCACGATGCACCAATACATTAAGAAGTCCTGCTCCAATGTCACTCACTGTTCCCTCACTCTTGTATTTCCCTTCAGGGCCCCATAGCAGAAGAACCCCAGGGAGTGACCTACGTTCAGCTGAACATAAGAACCTTAAATAAGAGGAAAGCCAACCCCAAGGAGACACCCACAGAACCTACCCTCTATGCCACTGTGTCCCAGAATTAATGGTTTGGGCACTTTTCATGAAAGACTTCTCTCCCTTCTGTTCTTCCACCCCTGTCTTCTCCCTCAGCCTCATTTCATCTGTTCTCTGGTACATCTTCCCCAGGTTCCCGTCGCTGAGGAGCCCTGATGGCAATTAGGGATAGCCACAGGTGTCTAGAGTTACACAAACCAAGTGCATCAGTCTCCAATCGTGAGATACACACAATTACTTACAGAGTAGAAGGGGGTGATCATCTCAGAGAGGTCAATAGTGGTCACAGAGACCAGAAAGGACCTTCTGCACCAGATGGGATTGGAGCTAAGTTGTGAAGGAAACCAGGCAAGCTAAGAGGCAGATTGGAGGAAGGATTCAATTCAAGGAAGGAGGGACACTCACCATGGAGGCATGAAGTTAGGAGACTATTGTGTGCAAGGACAAAAATAATGCTCTGGTGTAGCTGGCTTATACAATGAGTACAGGGATATCAGGTGCAAGAAGACTAGAAAAGGAGGCATCCACTGAGGCTCATCACCTCCCTGATGTCCTCCACTGATCCCTCAAACTCACCCCATGTATCCAGTCTGGTGTCAAGCTGTCTTTTCCACCATCACACAGTCTCTTGCATATGTCCCCTTCTCTCCAATCACACAGTGACTACCCTAGGGCTTACCTCACCCCTGGTCTATTGCAGTTGCCTGCTGGTGGGTCTGCCTGCCACCAGTCTCTCCCACTCCAATCTATCATCCCCTCAGCCATCAAATTGTTGTATTTGAAGTGCAGGCCTGAATATGTCAGCCCCCTAGCTAATAAACTCCACTTGCTCCCTATCAGCTCTAGGATTAAAAATAGAACCCTGTATCATTCAAAGTCCCTTCATAGGCTTCCCCATGACCTTTCAAGTCTTCTTACAACTTATGTCTTCTCATACACTCTTGGCAGCACAGACAGTCAAAGTCCCAAGCAAAGGCCATCAACTTCATCAAGGCATTCCCATGATCCCCACCCCTCTTCTACTCAACTCATACTCTTATTGTCAGTGTCTACCATGATGGCTCATGCAGAGTAAGTGCTTAAGAGATTTTTGTAGACTTTTATTGGTAACAAGGTAGGCCAGGTCCAGATAGTCTTTGAAAACAGGCTTGAAATCTGAAGGAACTTGTATATGTGATCTAGTCTGACCATGGAGGTCTGCAGAGATTAAGTGGCTAGGGAGTCCCTTTAGAAATTGAGTTTAATCAAAGTGAAAGATTAGAGACTCACAATAAAGAGATAGGAGTCTCTTGGAATATAGGCTAGATGGAGAAGTCAGGAAGGGACCAAGGAATGATGAGGCACCCATAAGGAAAAGAACCCTTAAGTCTACCCCATTCTTGTACAGAGATGGGCAGATTGTTGGGAATTGTCTGGCATCCCTTTCAATATCTACTGCTCATATCCTTTGAAATATTTTCCTCCTGGTCACCAGGTAGTTGCCTTTGTGCACAGTTGTGGTTTTTGTTTGTTTCTTTCTTTTATACTGTGTCTTCAAGGCAAGATTCTTTGTAGTGTTTTTTCAAATTATTTTGAATTTAAACACATACAAAAAAACACTGAGCATTTCCATGTGCCCAATGGAACGTAAAAACAGATAACATATGAGACTGTGAATTTCCATTTCATACACACACACACATGCACATGCACTCATACACATGTAACTTTCATATGCTGATTTCAAAACCATCCTGTTGCGCATATTTCCTTTGAAATTTTTTTTCTATTCTCCTCTGTATATTTTAAAAATATGTAAATGCTTCTTCTCTTTTGGCATTTCTATTGTTATCCCTACCCAGAATTTTAAAAATTTCCAAATTAAAAAAAGAAAAAATCCTTATAATAAATGAGCAAAGTTAAGTGAAATTAATCCTGATGGTGTTCTTGTCAAAAATTTATGTTTCTGTACTTTGTGTCATTACTTTCAGTCAAGAGTTGGCACCATGCTTCATCAGAGGTGTTTTGAAGGCGTGGTTAGCATTTGCATTTTTCAAAGTTCTTAAGTCTTTCAAAGTTTTATTTTTCCTTTTCACAATATTACTCTCCTTGCATAAATTATGCTCCTGGTTATGCTCCCTTCACTCTGCATCAGTTCATATTATCCAAGGTTCTCTGAAATCATCTCATTTGTGGTTTCACATGGTGCAATATTATTCTGTCATTTTGATTTCCTGTTGGTGCAGCCATTCCCAATTGTTTAAAGGACAATCAAGGAACCCACTTGGGTTCTTGTTCTTTTCTTTTTCTCCCTTGCCATTCCTTCTTCAAGACTGCTAAAGGTACATTTATCCTTACTCTTATCCTTCCCTTTAACCCCTTCCGCCCTAATCCCTGCATTTCCTTATTGAGTTTGATATATTTCTACGCAAAATTATTTATGCACGTGTGTATGTAATTCTTCTCTGTACCTTTTCTATAACAGTGAGGTTCATCTGATGCCCACTCCCCAACTTTTTCCTACTTGTTTGTATACTCTTTTCTCATGCACCCCAAATATGAGGAATAGTTACCCTCCCTTCCTCACATCTATAGTAATGTATACCTTCACCCTCCTTTTTCTTCTGCCTCTTAAAATGATTAAAACAATCTGCATCCAAGTCCTGTGATTTCTTTTTAACTCTATATGTATCCTTTGAAGACATTCAGCTTCCGAAGGGGTACTTCTTTCTTTGCTCTCTGTTTGAATGTAGGCAAAGGCAGAGTCAAGATGGCAGAGAGCTAGAAACTTTGCCTCAGCTCCCCAAAACCTCCTCCGCAATGACCAAGAAAATGTGTCAAACCAAAATCTGAGGATCAAAACCAAAAAACAGTCACAGAGAGTCATTTTTCCAGTGTAAAAAGCATAAAATATTAGCACTCCACCATCATACAGCCCCTTCTAATTATTCGAGTCAATTGGCCATTCCAGTTTTCTCTAGACTTCTTATGTTGCTGCTCAATTGCTGCTGCTTCGTTCTTATTATTGTTTCAAATCTGTCAGAAATGCTTGCAAGTTCTCTATTGCATTAAAGATCTCCATTTTTTTTCCTTTATAGGCATATACTCAGCTTTATAAGGCAAGCAATTCTGAGTTTTGAGGTCATACACTTTTGAACATTTTATACAAAAATCTACACTCATTTAGAGTAGAAGCTCTTCAGTCTTTTATAATCCTGACTGTGATTCCTTGGGAAAGATCATCTTTCAAAGGCTTGCAGCATTGTTGTCCTTTAATGTGAGAGATCTGGAGTTTGGTGTGTGGAATTCTTCTGACTTTTCTTTTGGGAGTCTCTTTCAGAAATGGTTAGTGTATTCTTTTGATATTCACTTTGCCCTCTGGTTCTAATAGAAGTGGATCATTTTTATGATTTCTTGAAATATCGTTACAGGGTGATTTTTTGGTCATGGTTTTCAGGAAGTCCAGGGATTATTAAAGTATCTTTTCTTGACCTTTTGTCCACGTGTATTGTTTTCTATATCAGATATTCTACTTTTTCAGCCATTTTTATTTAAAATTTCTTCCTATCTCATGGAATCATTGATTCCTATTCCATATATTTTAGCGTAATTCTTTTAGAAAATCCACATTTTCCTGTCTTTGCTTAGAGTTGTTAAAGAAAAATTTTCTTTGGTGATCTGTATTACACACACACACACACACACACACACACACACATGCATGCACATATATATATATATACACATTTATACATATATATGTATATATACACACATATATACATGCATACACATCTATCTATATCAATATATGTGTGTGTGTATGTGTATGTATGTATGTGTGTATACATATATATATATATGTATGTATATATATATATATATATATATATATATATATATATGAAATATTAGTCAATGTGTTTTTGGTTTGCTGATCTCTCCTACATGAGTTCCTGACCTAAGACTCTGGGTCAGGGCCAGGCCTGTGCTTTGTTGCAATTGTTGATGAGGTGGTCAGCCCTGCTTAGTCTCACCCAAGGTTCCCTGCATTTCTTCACTGACCTCTGCTTCCCAGGGTTAAGCTTCTTTGGAGATATGAGATTCAGAAAACTGTATATTAAGGAGCCTTTATAACATCCCAGGGCAGAGTCCTAGTGACATCAGAATACTTGGAAATCTAGGCTGCTCTGAACACTGCCAATTTAGTAGTATGATCTGCATTTTCCCAGGGTCTCCAAAATCTCCACGCTGAGGTTTCTGACACCCTTGGGCTTTCTCAGGGGAAGTTTTTCATTCTTGCAGACTCTGGACATTGAGACTTCAAATCTACATGTGTTTCTGGTGTCAGTCTGATTGTGCTGTTAGTCAGTCAGTCATAAACAATTTTCAAGCACCTGTGTACCAGGCCCTCGACTAAGCACTGTGGATACCAATATCAAAGAGAAAGACATCCTTTCCATCAAGAAGTATACAGAACAATGGCAGAAGAAAACACACAAAAGGAAACTAAAAGCATTGGACAAGAGGAGCAACGATTAGGGTTCAGATGTGGAGTGAGTGCCAAAACTGATGTAATCTTGCAGGATGGTCAGTTTCCTGATAAGGAGTTTTCCTTAGCATCTGAGGGAATCTAGTCCCAAAAGAGCAAGCTGGTGCTGGTAGGATTCTGGCTTGTTTGCCTGTATTGGTGTTGGTTTTATTACCAGCCACTTTTCCAACTGTGGTAGAGTTCTAGTGAACTTTTTGTCCAGTTCTGCACTAGAAGTAATTTACTATTGGATTGTATTGCTTTATCATTATTCACTCTGGTGAGTATTTTAAAAATTGTTGCTAAAATAAGTATGTGGGAACTGGGCACATACAAGAAACAACAAGAATTACCCACTGAGTAGATGTGTGGAATATAAGAGACAGAGAAATCAAGGGTGTCACCAAGGTTGCCAAGCAAGAAGACTTGGACAATGGTGGTGCCTTGGACAGCACCTTAGAGACATTTGGAAGATGGGAGGGGTAAAGGTCAGGAGTCCTATTTTGGTCATGTTGAATTTGCGATGCCTGTGAAACACAAGATATCCAAAAGGCAGGTGGTGATGAAAGACTATAGCTGAGGGGAGTGACTGGAGCTGGGGACATAGAGGTGGAAGTCACCTGCATAGAGATGATATTTGAACCTGACACTGGCAACCAACTCCAAATATCTCACTGAGATGTTTCCTTGTATTTAATATGTTCTAATTTTGATCCTAACCTTCCAGTCTGGTTCAAATAATAAGTAATATCGGGGATTTGATCAGACACAAAAGCATTTGTACTAAGGTACAAACACTTCATTGATGGACAAGTACATGAGGAAGAGGCATGTGTTTCTGCAACATGAATCATGTAACTTCAGCTGGTTCTGTTGCTAGTGGCTTGTTATGACCGAAAGATTTATTCATGAACATCGGCAAGTTGAAGAGTGTCGATGTAATTCACTGGTAGCACAACATGAGGGAAGAATCCCCAGCAGCCTGGAGGTCAGTAACCAGAGTGGAAGAGGAGAGCATTCCAGGTGTGGGGGATGGTAGAGAAAGCATTCCAAGCTGAGAGAGGGGGTGTCTTGTCGGCGGAGCAGCCAGGAGGCCAGTGTCTCTGGATCAGTGAGTATGTGTCAGAGAAGACTGGAAAGATTAGCAGGCTTGGAATGCCAACCAGAATATTTTATACTTAATTCTTGAAGCTACAAGGAACCACCAGAGTTGATCAAGTAGGTGGGTAGAATGAATGATGAGACTTCAGCTCTAGAAATGGGAAAGTTAGGCCCATGGAGGGGAAGAGATTTGTCCAACATCACAGAGCCCCATGAAACAGGTTAGAGCTGGGACTCACACTCAGGTCTCTATCCTCCAGGACCCTCTCCAGTCTTCACCTACACACCCCTACAATCCATGTTTTTTGCCTTATTCCTCCTCTCCAATCCCTGTGGACATGCCATTTGGTGATTTAGAGAGAGACAGAGTTACAGAGAAAAAGAAAGACAGACACACAGAGAGGCAGAGAGAGAGAGAGAGAGACAGAGAGACAGAGAGACAGAGAGAGACAGAGAGGCAGAGAGAGAGAGAGAGAGAGAGAGAGAGAGAGAGAGAGAGAGAGAGAAATGAATTAGATAGAGTCAGAGAATTGAGCCCAGGTCAGACTTGAAGCACACTCCCCCCCCCACACACACACACATCAAGTTAATGGTGAGGAGGAAACATATTCCTTAGAAGAAAGGCAGCCTGTCCAAAGGGATGGGAAAGAGATATGACCCATATGTTGGGTGGAAAGAAGAATAAGGTAGCTGTTTTACCTCTGCCACAGAGCATGCAATTCATACTTAATCCCCACAAAGCTGGAAAGAAAGGTTGGAATTAGGATAAGGAAGGTCTTTAAATGCCAAATGGAGGAAGTTATATTTGATCTTGGAGGTAAGGGGAAGCTATTGCAGTTTATTGCCAAGTAGAATGCCAAGACTAGAACTTTTAGGAAATCTTTTTTGGTAGTTGGAGGGGAGGATGAAGTGATGGAGAGAAAATCATGAGTTACACAACAGTTCAGATAGAAGAGGGTGAAAGCCAAGAAAAAAAAAATGGTGCCCTTGCCACAATATAAGGGTCTTGATGTTATACATGTTATAGATTAGAAGTGATGAGATTTGGATTGGAGGAAGGGGTGAGACAGAGAGAGAGGAGTCAAGGATGACCTCAGGGGCATGAGCCTAGCTAATTTGATGGATGGAGATGCCTGAGGAAGAAATAGAAATTTCAGAAAAGGGATGAATTTCAGGAGAAAGGCAGTGATCTCAGGTTTAGACATGTTGAGTTTGAAATGACTATTGGCCACCCATCTCGAAACATTAAAAAGTCATTTTTGATAAAGTAATGTAAG